TTCGTTTCGGTCCAGTAAAACAACCAGGTTGTTCATGGGCTTGCTAGCTTGACTAATTGTTGCCTGATGATCCGTGCAGGTCGATTCGCAGCAATACAACAACAATACCAACTGTTGAGTTGTATACAATCAACAAAGTTCACCCGAATTTTTCTACCTATTTTTAGACGTTTCGTTTCTTTATTTGCTTAAAGTCAGCAATGAAATGTCGTTAAGGCAAACCGACTTGCGTCAAAGCAGAGCTTTCTTCTTTTCAACGTATGAAACTCGATACTAAACGTCTATTTTTGCTGCTAATTATATTCCGTCTCCACGAGTGACGGTGCATTGTTTCAGACCTAGGACCACGCAGGTTTTTCGAACATCCCGAGTAACTCTGCTCGATACATGTTTATATGAAATACAAAGACATCGGAAGGAATACTTCTTGAGAAAAAAAAAACAAAGAATCCCACAATTTCCCCCTATTGGCATCCACCGTTCATTTCTCCAACAATCGAAAGCGTTAAAATGTAATTAATATAGATATGAGTTTATTTATAAAGAAGGCGCGCTCTGATTGGCTGATGGTGATATGAATCGTGAGGGGCTAGTTTGTAAAGAAAGTCAGTGACGCATGTATTCACAAGAGCTGGACAGTCGAGCGCAGGACACATGCCGGTTCGATTGCAGGATAGACCCTCTACCTTTTTTATACATTGTTGATTGAGGCTTAAGCAGAACATTATTCCGATTCATTCGCCTTGGCGGACACATTGAAAGAATAAACTTTGTAAGCTTTCTTGATTATCGGAGATATTTACCATGGAAGAATCACCCGCTAACTCGCCGGATCAGGCAAGCTTTGCTGACATTAATAACAACCAAGATTCCAAACCCACCTCTGACAAATCCATCGATTCGCCTGAAGGTAAGTCTTCTTCTCAGCTACTAGATTATTGTCCAGGGTTCAGAAAAGCTGAGTTCTAATTAGTTCAGGATTTTTTTGGGATTAAGTGTTAATCTTGAAAGGAACAACAATATGTTTTCTAACTCTTTACAATTTCGACGTGCTAAAACTGTTACACGGTTTGCAATCAACACCAGCACTTTTCCATGCTGGCATGATGCAGTTTGAATCTTCTGCAGTTTGTTTGGCGTCTTTGTTATGCTAGCTCTTCAAATTATGTGTTTATATTCAATCGACAGAAAATAACAATGAGTGCGACGACAGCAAGCAGAAGAGGAAACAGCGAAGGCAAAGAACGCATTTCACGTCGTATCAGTTGCAAGAACTCGAAGCCATGTTTGCAAGAAATCGTTATCCCGATATGTCTATGCGCGAAGAAATGGCGATGTGGACAAACCTAACAGAAGCACGAGTTCGAGTAAGTAGCTCTTGACGTTGAAAAGGCATGTTAACCATGTTTGCTCTAAATAATTTACGCGTAACGATGGCCGAGAATAGCTGATGAAAAATAGCCGTCCAGGCAGTCATTCTGGTACCAGCGATAAAGAGCTGCCTAACTATCCAGCTGTTACTGTCTCGTTAGTCAAGTGGATTTCTAGCGACACGGAACGCCGTTTAGCCTGAGTTCAGCTGTCTTAAGTAAACTAACATCTCAGTTATCTTGACTCAAGTGCACGAGAAAAATGCTTATGCTTAGAATTGGACACTCATTGCTCTCTTAATTATTCAAAAACTGCCATGTATAAGATAGGCCGACTACAACACCCGCTAGCAGTGAATAAAACAGTGCTTTTACCAACCTTAGGCAGACAAAAGGGCTCCTCTATCATTCCAAATTGACAAACATTGAAACGAAATCACTGTATCGGTCTGAATCCCTTGTGATGTTTGCTTATTTCAATATCCTCTTCAGCCTAAATTTCCGTGCAATTACAATGTTTACTCCTGGATTCAGATGAATTTCCTAAAGACACCTGGCGAAACAACCCGGCAAGCAAGTTGCCAAACCCCAAACTTTTCCAAAAAAGTATAGTTTTTCGAGCATCTCGCAGCGGGAGGCTGACCTGGAAGCTCGTCCTTCTACCAGCTAGCGAAATGACTTATGTTAAAGCTTTTGTTTAAGGAGTTTTGTGTGAATATTCTTAGAAGCATTAGATAGGGTTTTAGTTAACACCTCCACAAATACTCCAAACCAAGTGGCTATGTATTGTTTCCATTAAAATCGACAGGTGAAATTTTAAACTCTAGCACATGTAACTGACCGAGTCTAGGATATAAAAAAATCTTTAGGGKTTTTTGAACGTTTTACACAGTTTAATTTGAGAAATCGTCTTCGCGGTAACGTGGCAATTTACCAAGCGAGGCTTGCTTTCAGCGCCAAAACACAAAACCAAGTCGTTTTTGTTTGGGCCGTTTCCTCTCGTTTCGAAAAGTAAACACTGTACAATAACTAGGTTATAAAGTACTAAGGATTTTTCAATGATCATATTTATGCACTTATAGGTGTATTTTGCTAGAGGGTTATTGAGAAATGAGTACCATTTTATACGAGTACTTATATTGAGCGATGTTATCGCACTCCCAGACTGCTAAACACACTCCTTAAAATAGTATTAAGACCTTTATTGTCATAAAAAAGAATTAATCTTTTCTAGGGAAATTTCCCGAGCTAATAAGACTATTTTTCACACTGGTTTGATTGTATTTATAAAATTTTTCATGTAAACCGTTCGTCATTTGCGTTTTAAACAAAGTGTCAAATAAGTCAAACGACGAACAAGAAACTTCAGTTAATGAATCTTGTTGTTCTAGGTCTGGTTTAAAAATCGTCGCGCAAAATGGAGAAAGAAGGAAAAGAATAGCCCATCGATTCTCGGGCAGGATAAAGCAACGGCAATGATTCCAAATTTAAATGGGTATTTCGAGAGCGGAGGTGTTCGTTACGAAACAGCGTCAGAAAACACGGCCGCGATGTATTCAAACTACGGCTCGAGCTACTGGAAGCAAAGTTCGCCAAGTCTGGGAGCATACAGCTCTCTATCTCAGACAGGCAACGGCCTTGGGTATACTGGTTATTCGTCTTCAGTAGCACCGCCAATATCTGGATCCTTGACTTCTTTTGGGACACCCATTTCAGCAGACAGCGCAGTGTATGCCCCGAGTGGTGCAGCCGTCCCGCCGAGTGTGCCCTGTGCTTATCCTCAAAGTTATGCGGGCTATCAAGAGCAGAACTTATATCTAAAATCAAAACCTGCAAGCCATCATCCCAGCTATCCTCAGCCGTCTCCATACGGATCTTACGGTTCCTATGAAATACAAATTTAGGACTTGGTGCTTGTCCGCACCATATCCCGGAAACTGGAGGTTCGATTTTAGTGCTGTGAAACAGACGATTGAAGTTGGTGAGGTTAAAAACCTGAAAAACATTGAACCAAAAACTCACTTTAGTTTTCGAATTATATGATTTTCAAGCCAGAAGTCCGTGAACTGAGAAAATGTTATAAAAATTGCTTAATGGTTGACGAAGACATCTTCTTTCAATAGATCCCACGGAACTTGTTCTTTTAAGACTATAYTATAGCCGTTTGAAATGTGCACTAGTTAGAATTTAAAATGGTAAATAATAGGTTAAGGTAAAACTGTAGAATAGAATAGAAATAAGAAAACTCGGCGTTTTAGTAAATAATATCGTTAAATTGTGATTTGATTTTCGCAAATTGTGTGTAAAGTTTCMAAGATGTCAGCCAAAAAATTGTACTTCGGTATCGTCTGTATATTTGCTAAGGATAATTCGACTAAATCTTCTTTCTTTTTGAACTAAGAAGACTTTGATACCTGTGTAAGTGCGTGCTAATAATTGTTTTGTTATAAAACCGTGTTTTCTCGCTCCTTAATCCCGAACAGCATCAACGTTGTTATTAGAAGTAATACTCTTGTACATGGAAAGGATTCAAATGTAACGAAGCTGACTGACAGCTTGTGCTGTCCACCGCGTACAGTTCTTATTTCTTAACCCGGTTATTAGGCACACCTAGTAGTCGCTTTGTATCTGAAAGTGGCCTTTTAACAAAATTCTTATAAATTTTGTTTTATCTTGAGTTTTAATAAAATACAGTACAGTGACTTTCCCTTGAAAAGCGTTTGATTTTTTTATATTTTTCCATTTAGTTTGGTGTCAGACAAGACGAACAAAAGGAACTTTTTTGTCCATCAACCATGAAAAGACACCGCAGACCTTATTGTTTTTCACAGCATTGCTAAACAACAACAGCAGCGAATGTCCTGATAGACTCAATTTGATAAGCGTACCTATTCGTGATTTTATTCGCGCCAGGCGGCTAAATTCGAGTAGTCGTAAGTGATGTCCCAGAAATAAAACGCAACGATTGCTAAACTGACCATCGTATGTATCTTCCGTGCAGTCAATCAACGAAGGGTTAGAGGGGCTATTGTTCATCTAAAGAATTGACCCATTCAATTACTGGTTTGCTCATCAAAAAAGGACCATTTCATTGTCCAAGTAACGGTCAATTTTTCAAAAATTKAACCATACAGGAATCATTTTTTCCAGACAAYTTCACAAAATACTACATGTTTCKGTCAAAGGCGTCGAAAAACAGTTATATTTATTGTCCCAATAGGAGAATTTGCCTTGATTGATAAATTAATTTCCATTAATGTTAGACAGTTTTATGTAATTCTCTACACTTGACTAACTTATGACAAAAAGAGCTTTTTGGGCAGATGAATTATTTGCTTCGTAAGTTGTAAGGGCTCACAAAAGATTGTTTGTTACCATGGAGTATTTGACGGCGGTTTGCACCATCCCACAGTACGAATCCAAACGTGTTCYATAACAGTTGGTTAACATGTTTTTATTGAGGTTGTTTTGAAAAAATATGTTGGTACTTGTCGTTACAGTACGTTGACCAACAGCGTACAGCTGACACAGATTTGCCTGGAGGCAAATGTTTTSATGTAGGGTACAATGTAATTCGGTCTTTTGTGACAGGACCACTTTACGATGGTACTTTTTAATGACTAATGATCGAGTCCACGTATTTCAATTAACAACTAGTAAAAGTATTTATTTCTAAATATAACATAAAAAAACTTCAATTTCTGGTGGAAAAATGTAACTTTCATGACGTTAAAATTCACTCATCCGTTCATTGAAGCAATCCGTTGGGTTTTTACAAGCTTGCTGCCATGGGAGACAGACGGCCTTTCACACTTGGAAATTAATCTAACAAAGGATAGATTTATTTATTCTTAAGGATAAATTTCTCTTTCGATGTGGCTATCWGTGAAGGAAAGAAATATAATCCTTGTCTCACACAAATATAAGACCTATATACAAAAAAAATTCAAATTGAATATTTTTGGGGGGAATTTTAATAAAACGTTTATAGTGCAAAATATATATATGAGTATTTTCTATWGCATTTTCGCTTATTATATTAATAAAAATTTTATGTTTTTAGAAGGTTTACTTTTATTTTGTCAACACCAAAACTACTACCCATTCCGGATCAGATAGAAGTTGGTAATGCAAGATTTTAAGCGGTTATCACTTTTGATTTTATCAGCTCGAGATAAGTTGAGTGATTTGCGTTTTCCTATGGTACTTCGAGAAATGCACGGATTCAAAGAGCAGTTGTCAAACTTGTTAGACATAACATCGGATTTATCTAATTCCGTTTGTTTTTGTTATCAAAAGGCACTCCAGGCTGTACAAATATGAATACCAAAAGCGAAGCTCAAGTAATGCATTTGATTTAAACATCGATAATAAAGTGAGAAGCCTTCTGCCCGACGAGTAACTCTATTTAGTGAGCATATTATCTGAAATTTGCTCAGAGACATTTGTCAAAATACAGAAAGGCCTTCGTGTAGCGACGCTCTGAGTGTTTTATTGCAGCAAACAAAGTACTACGTTTGACAAAAGAGTGTTTTATTCATAGTAGAGTGTTCAGGTAATGGYTCCGCCTGCTCTTCATATGTTCTTGTTGGTCTATTAGTTCTTATTATGATCGGTTTCTACGTCTAGCGGCACTATACCTGTTAAGCAATACAGCAAACAAACTGTGTGTGAATTTGACGAAGCTAATTCAGTAAGCCGTATAATCTATTACTGCCAAACATTGTGACTTCGAGGGTGTGAAAATTGGCTTTATATTTATTGTGGTTGGCATGTTATTCTCACTATTTCGATGAATAGATGTAATACGAATTGTTCCAAATTAATCCAGACATCTAGACATGTATGAAAGATCTTAAACGAAGGATATTCATCGGAAATTTTGTGTTTTGAAATTGAGAATGTTTCGATAAMAATTTCTTTAGCTTTTCCAGTCAAACTATCTTATTGTTTATGAGTTTTTTGTTTTTAAATCCTTTGAATTTAAGAAAATGGTTTATCTACAATCAACAACAACTCGCAGGTTTTTTAGTTTAAAATTACAACAATACATCGACTTGTGATAGTTTATAATTCTTGCTTGGTTATAAAACTATTCCATTTATACCGCACATTTTTTATTCGTTTATTCTTATCCCAAAATGAAACAACGAMTGGTAGCTTCAAATGACACAACAATTTCTATACAAAAAACTGTCGTTTTGGTGTTAATCCAGTCACAAAACATATGTTTTTTCTTGCTACAATCGATTATTGAAGTCCAAGAAAAAATGGTGGCCATCATACAACGTAAAATCCACCGATACGTCCTGTTTGTCTATGACGTGAAAGGCGGTAGATATAGTCGATATAATACAACTGTTGTTTGAATACAGCCTTGAATAATCCCAAGTGCTTTCTTGTATACGTAGTTCTTTCTCAATTGACCATTTAGTGGTGCGAAAACACCAATATTATAATTCACTTAATAGAAMATTTATGGGCAAAACTTGTTGTCCAAGTTTTCTGGCATAGTTTGCCATTAATAAAACCGCTCTAGAAGTGTGATATTTCTTTACTTTTTCATTTCATAAGCTGTAAAAAGTGAAATAATATATCGTTTGCTGATTTTAAGAGGTTTTTTTTTAATATCAATATTTTCTATAATTTATCTTCTCGCTCACTCGATCCTTCTTTCTTCCGTATTAAGAATTTCACCCTGAAGTTGACTTTAAGATCTGCATTTGTATAAAACGTACATCAACAGTGCAGTTTAAAATATTATTTTTAAGGGTCAGTTTTTAAACAAAAATTTGTATATATAATTATACATGTATCTGTCGGGTGTGTGCAGTCGTGTGATTCAAAATGTCATTTCAGCTGCCAAGCAATATATTATTGCTTCATATTTCAACACATTTGTTTCTTCATAGACATATATTGATCTGAAGGCATTTTTAATCAGAATATTTAGAGCACACATGTATAAACTTAGCCAATAAAAATTTCGCCGCTCGAGGAAGGGATGTCCAGAGGAGCCTCTAAGGACATCTGATATTTCTTCTCGAGACCGTGAAAGCATTTGGCGCCGAGTCTATTTCAGAATTTCAAGACTAGAACAATGCCTAAACGTTTAAACTCCACTTAACGACGTGAAATATCAAATAAAGGAAGCAAAATGAAGTACTCCCTCAATAGGAACAAGCTGTTACATTATTTGCATTTGACACAGTTGAGGAAGAAACTTTTGTMAGGCAACAAAACATATACTTTAGAAGGTCAGTGAGTAGATTGTAAAACCGAAAAGCAATCCTATCAACAAGAGAATAAGTAAACAATTCTTACAATGTAARAGAAGTTACTTCATGGTTTGTCTTGGCAAGACTTTGGCGATCTTTTTTTTGACAGTTGCCGATTAAAAATGGATGTTGGATTGTTTTGTTTTGTTTTTTTTTGTTTTTTTCTTTTGGAGATCGTTTTAATTATTGAAGTTTGAAACGATTTTGAAAAAAATTGAGAAAAAAAAGGAGATTGCTATTTATATATGCACATATGGAGAGTGTTACCGCAAATAAATAAGTTTCTTGAAGTAATGGAAATAATAAAAATAGCACGCGATATAACTTTCACAAAAGCACAGAGAACTTTCGCTTCATTGAAAATCGTTCTTTCAGTAGTATTTCGTGTCCTCGAAGGATCATTACAAGCTACTATTATTGTTGAGTTTAAACCCAGTTCCGTCGGATCATTCGYTTTKAGGTATTAAAAAATAAAAGGTATATGACCTTTTTTGAATCACACTGATTAAGCATGGGATTTAAGGGAAAATGCATCCAAATTTGCTTGTAACATTAATAGGGAAAATTACTGTTAATGTTAGGAAACGAGCCTAGTGAAAAATCATTTCAATTTTACTTTGTTTYYTAGTTCACTTAATTTGGAATTAATGTTTAACTGCAAATTTAGGCCCACGCATCGAACACAAWGTGATCAGTTCTTGGACAAAACAAAAAATATTTCAATATTTTTGTTGATGTCGTCGTTTCTTTATTTTTGGGGTTTATTTTGCTTTTRACAATGATTTTTCCCAGTTATCAWTTTCTTCTTATTAATTTTGACTTGTTTTTCATTTTGGTTGTCTTGATATAAACAGAAAAGTGCAATGTGATGCTAAAATATTCAGTAAATAAGCCCATATATTCTTTTTGTGCCTCGTTGTTCTCACCGCCTTTTGATCCATTCACACCTCTTTTTCAATTTTCCGTTTTCTTTTATATTCTTTAGAACCTACATTTTTAAAAACAAACCTTCTTCTCTTGACAACGAAGCCGATTCCAAACTGCGCAAAAAATAACCGCTAAAAATAAAACAAAAATCATATCGTTTCTCGTTCCCTTTACCAATAATTCCTGTATAATGCGATTTTCGGTTTTTATTCACAAAAACGCTAAAGTATTCTTGACGAGACACAATCGACCATGYACGCATAGCCGACGATATATGATAAGAACATTTCCTTTAATTTCCGCCCACTTCAAAGTATTTTACGCTCAAGTACAAGAATAAAGCTGAATCAATTAAGAAATTCTGATGAAAAGCCTTGGTCAAACAAAGACAGCAAGCTTGTCCTTTGCGGGAATTGTTTTCGTACTTAGTAGGTTGTTTCTCTTTTTTTTACATTGAATTGTAGTCGGTGTCTGACTTTGTTGTGATCTTCCGGCAGTCAAGGAGGGGAACTCCGCCAATTACGATACCTAAACCTGTTAAAAGGGCCGAAATTTCTCGCTCGCGAGGCGGGATAATATCGMGTTTTCACTGACCCGTTGATTGATCTATTAGTCTTTCTCGTCAAATATAACATTCCGTAAATCAAAAGTCTTTAAAACATGTTGATTTAATACTAATAAGGCGAAAAAACATAAACTGATTTGATTGTTTAATAAGTTAGGTGTCAAGGAGCTGGGTATACTTCCACTGGAACTTTTTAATTACKTTCACYTCGACTCACGTCAAAAATTGTTTTTAACGCCCTTGATCTGACAAGAGAAACGTTTTCGTTTTGACGCTGCACTGTGTTACAAGTTACTTGAGGCTAGTTTAATAAAACTACGTTTACATTTGTTGACTCAAGGATTTCTTATCGATAGTCATGTAAATAGACCATGAAGACGTTAGCAACGTTGGCATCAGATTTATGAACCTTTCGCACRCTATAGTACATATCTTTCGAGTGTTCTCTTATTTAAGCAGGCTTTTTAAAATGTTTTCCCTTCCTTAAAATCTTCTTTTGTTTCTTTCAATGAAAGACCGGGAACGAAAGTGTAAAACGTTTCTTTTTTCCTTCTTTTTTTTTCCTGATCTTTTTTCTTTCGATTCGCAATGTTCAATGTTTATTTTGACCTTGTCTGGAGTGGCAAGAAACTGGCTCAATAATTCAATCGTGATTTTTTTCAGGTTTATTTTTTCGTACACATTTATTAAGACAGTTACAGTATGTAATAATTATGCACTTACATTACCCAAACGATATACTTATTGAAGTTAAGGCATTACTGGACATATAGTACACGATAACGAAGTTCACTTATCACCATACATACATTACTACATACACTGAATAGAAATTTGTTAAGTGGACTTCAATTAACCGTCAATGGTTTTAGTTTCGTGCACGATGTGTCATAATCTAATCTAATAGCGTTTGTGATGTGTAAATTGCTTCATTTACTAAAAACAGCGTCCAAAGTAACAAGTTCGTCTGCATGATTGGTTTAAATAAAATGATTTTTTATGTTATAATGATCAAATGTTATGCTAATGTGCAAATTACTCGTGGATATGTATTCTTCGATGAAAACGCTGATTGAAATCGAAAATATATTCAAAAAGATGGCTTTTTTTAAATCAATAGTAAGTAAATAGAACATTTCTCTAACGTGCCTAAATTACATAATTTTTCTCTATTAAAATTTTGAAGTCATCATGCCTCAAAGTGTACTTGTATATCAGAGCGCACAGCGCACTCAATGCAATGTCAGGTAGCTAATTAGCAAAAAAAGATGTGTTGATAAAATCGTTCTCGTAGCCATGGAATGTCTTATATCATCCTGGTCTTGAAGCTAATACAAATGTGTTCATGAGTGCTTTTAAAAACTGAAAAATTCTTAAATTTGAAAATTGTGCTAGGGCCTGTATAGTTAGATGATGGAAAATGAGGTTTGTAGTAGGCTGGCTTGCTCAGGCTCAGTGCTCAGGATTTCCCCATTCTTTACAAAAACACCAGAGAAATAGAAAAGAAATTAATGCCCTTAGATGACCAAGTGGACTATTGGACTTTGCCAGATATAATTACTTGTTTAAAATGTTTTTAAAAAATGTACAAATTATCATCTTCAAATGACAAAGTGGACTAGCATGTTTGCTTACATAAAGATTCATTTAATAACACTTTCGTATTGTGTGAATATCAAACATAATGCTGGGCTGCCTGGTAAACTGGGATTGTTTCTAACCATACAATTAGGTTTGCTTAGGGCTGGTTCACACTTTGACATAAGCAGATAATGAAACATAAATCAGGAAAAGAAATCACAAAGGAATGAAGTCAAGTACATAAGGCACAAACAGAAGCAAAGTTATTAGCACACAGCACATTACAGTTGAAACCCCGGGCCCTTAGATCTCAGGGCAGATGGGAATTTTTTTTTCACRATACATTACAGCAGCAATCTTGGAGGATTTCAACAAGGGATTTCTCATTACTTTATATTATTCATTCCAACAACATGGCCATCAGTCTTTAAAGGCCCAGTTTGCACCATTATGCTTTGCACGCCTGTTATTGTTATGATTTACACCAAAATACTTCTAGAATCCAAATATCACCATAAAACGAATTTCAGATGGTTGAAAACTCTTATATTAGCATTACTGAAAATGGCTGCCTCCTGGCCCTTGCGGCCCCCAAAGCATAATGGTGCACACTGGGCCTTTAATCTTTTGCATGATTTCTGAATAATAATCTTTTCCATGGGAGATGCATTTKAATTTACTTTTGTTCACCTTTTCATCCCAGGTCATGGAAATTATAATTCACTTGTGGTGTTTCTGCATTGAGATGACTTTTTCAAAAGGAATTACTACTTTTGGATGAAYGACAAAAAATTATAACTATTATCGAAGCTATTATAATTTGTTATATTTCTTTATATTAGCAAAGAAAAGAACATTATTCCTGATAATCTAAATTGAAATTGATGTGTATTCTCATACAAGACAAAAAACTACTACTTTGGTTTCAATTTTACCATAGTTTGTAGACAGAGACTGCCTCCCTATGTTTTGGGCTGTATCATTGAGCCTRGTTGGGCTTGTGTCATAGTAAAAACCTTACATTGTGAAGGGCGGATACACACGGTGAATAGTGTGGCTAGCCACCCCCTTTTGAGGGTTGAAAAATACAGACAAAAAAAAGAAGAAAAAATATGAATGGCACCAATTGTGAAAACATCTTAAACAGAGTACTTCTGAAAGATGAAAGACCTCACTTTCAGCAGCCCTAAATCTATCCATTAAATTTTTTATCGGGCTAGTCAACCCCCTTTGTAACGTTCTAGATCCTCTGCTGGGCCTGATGTCACCCCAACGCCCAATAGCTTAATGGTCTTATATTAGCCTCCCACTCCCCCCCTCCCCCTYATCCACAAGAAGATAGCACTGACCACAATGGCAATGTCATTCGTAACAATCATTATTTTGGTTCAGCTTCTATTTTGAAAGTGGACACTTCTTCCCAATGCTGCATATACAAGTTACGAAATAATTGACTCAACGAGCAATCTCCAGTACTTAGGGTCCGCGGCACTGTGTTCAGTTAACACCTTCATAGTTTTCAGTCAACAARTTACACTTTGATATCAAACGCTTCCTTTGAGAAAGCAGAAATTCCCTTGYATTTCCAATTTTAAAGTCGTCTTACCTTATGTAAACTTTTTGAACGTCTTTTGGAGCATTTAAAACTTCTTCATTCCTACAAAACTTCCAGATATTGTCGGCCATGTTTAAACTCCCTTGGTAGCCTGGCTTTACGCAAGAGTACARGGAGCCCGGAACAACAGGGAAACCGAACAAACGTCATAAGATTAGTTTTCACAAGACCCTCACTATAATAAGTGTCACTGACTCTATCGACACACCTTAGAAAGTTCGAAGATATCTTATTAGAAATCCAATCCTAGGGTTTCTGCGTCCATTGAAAAAATT